GCAACATTCTTTATTTATTTGCTCGATGGTTTTTCGCTAGACAAAGCAACATTGTGTCAGCAACCATCTTTATTTATTTATGAAGCTTTGACTTAGACATTTTGACATGTTGTTCGTTAACACAGAGGAACTTTTCATTTTTACGGTACTGGGCCTAAAATGGAATCCTACGGCTGACTTCTTTTCTCATGCTTCTCGTCCCTTTGACAAACCCTATACAAAGCGGGCTATTCGTTCGTAAATCATATTTTTGTTGCTATCCTCTTGTTTTTATTCCTTTTCCATGTATTTTTGCTAGTCAAACGTCTTCTACAACCGTTGTGGTACTTTGATGTAGTCAGGGATGATGGAACATCTGAACAGATACATCTGACCTCTGTATTTGTATGTGTTACATTTCTGGTGTTATTCCTATACACGAACATCTATCGCAGGATCGGAGTTTTTGGCAGCTATACGGCTGACTGATCTAGTCACATTTGTCAACGAGTCTAGTCCAAGTTTCATGCTTGCTCTGTCTCGACAAGATTGGAACTCTTGGCAGCCATATTGCTGGCTGATCAAGTCACCTTTGTCATATCCTGCCTACCGATCCTGCGATATTTAATCTGACTCTACGCTTGCGCTCCCTTGAGCTAATTTTTCTACCCACAAATTGTCAATCGTATTAAACACATACAAGAACTGATACCACACTCTACTCGGCATTATATGCCTTCTAATCAACAGCGCTCTGATTGTGGTAGTCGTGTTTTATCACCGGCACAATTATTACAATCTTCACCAAACTGGCATTTTCCTACCGTGGATCTCGTTGAAATATCATTACTTCCCGACTGTCGTTGCAGACTTGAAATGCGACACCACGCCAAGATTTCGACGCTGTTCTTCTTCTTGTTTTTTTGCGCACTCCACGGAATTCTTATAGAAAAAGGGGCCAACGGTATTGTGTTTGATACAGTCCTTCTAGTTTAGCCGAACGAAAAATGCTGCCGATTAGACGCTATTCTTTTTTAATTGATGACATTGTACGCGTTGTTAATCTGAGCACAGTTTCAGATGGCATCCAACAATGTTCTGTGGTCAAAATATGACCGCCGCTTATTTGTTAATTCATATTTTATTCTCACTTAGTTCTTAACTTGTATATCGATCTTTTCCAGTCTATTCTTTATACTTATACTTTTAGCTGTTTTTAAAAACATTCGATTTTGGAGCGGGAGAATGTTTGGGAAAGTATGTGCGAATTCATTTCATATTTTTACAGTTAATTTTTTTTCTGTTACGGTAATGTAATGTGATCTAATTTGGTGCTGTATTTTAAAGACCTTTTGAAATATATTGTTTCCTGTTGTCTCATAAAACTTAAACTGGATATCTCATTTATGATGTTGTGAATATGGAGAATTTGGCTTCTCTTTTGTATAGGTCAAAAATATACACACAAAAGTAAAGTTTCGTGTTACCATCACAATTAGTTAAAATTATCGGAAAGATCGCAATACAATGGAATGATTTATTGGTACACCCTCTCGGACCACCGCTTAGAGGGTTTATTCTTAGCTCTGACCATATCAAGGCATTGGCACTTCATCGTTGGACAGTGAACTAAACGCTCCTCCATAGACCGATCTCGTGACTAGCCTCGGCGCCCCAGGCCGCGGCGTCGTGATGCCCAGCAACCAATTGTTCAGCCTGTTACGACTTCATCAATAGAACCAAAGGGTAAGTCTGTTCTTTGCACAAAACAACAATAATGAGTAAACCAGTTGATTTCATAACTTATTCACAATGTATAGTTGCTATTTCCACCAATTTTATGTACCAACCAATATTGCATTTTTCGTTATAATTATTTATCTGATATAATTTAACCAGCGACCTCTCAAGTTTAATCCTAACCACAGCTTCTGATTTATCTGCAGTTGGAGACATGCACTTATACTACATTAATGTTCATTGGCTCACCCCGTATTTGTAATAGTATCATTCTATCCGAAAATGGAACAAAATTTACAACGATTGCTTGAATTCTCCTGGAGATAATTATTCCAACTCCATATAGATGATCTCGGGTGTCATTTCCGGAGTAGTATATTGTTTTATCCATGACCAATGTTTTACCGGAACCAGACCAGCGCATTTCGCTTATGCCTAATATTTCTAGGTTCAATCTGTTTATTTCCTGAATCGTGTTGTGCGTATTTCCTTGTTCGAACAAACTCCTCACATTCCATGTCCCGAAATTTAAAAAGGATTTTTTCCCTATATAGTGATCCGAATGTTACATTCGGATGGCTCCTTCTCGCGGAGATTCTTAGCACCCCTCGACCATTAAAGGTCCGCCGCAGACAAGGGGCCATGTGATTGGCGTACTTTGCATGGTTATTGTTCTAGGGAAATCTGACGATCTTTAATTTAGTGGTTTCCCGTTGCCTTCTACATCCTTATGCCTATGACCACTAATAGGTCATCCGCCTTTGGAGCCAATTTTTCAACCCCAGGACAAAAAAGTGCCCAGCCACTTACTAACTCATCCGCCAGAAGCCGTTGGTCAGTTAGTGAGGGATTGCTTATACCGGCAATCACTCGGTGATTAGTGTTCGAAAGACTTTATTGTAGTGACTGTAAATGTGTCGAAATTAAAAAAATATAAAGTAATAAAAGATGTAGGTGGCACTATGGCAGTTAGTGACTTACAGATACGGGGGGCTTAGAAAATTTAATACAGCTATTAGCACTTAATTTTTTAAATTATTAACAATTTAAGCCCAACATGGTTAATAATCTTATTAAACTGAAATCATTGAATTTCTGTTTGTTGTTTTTGTATCTACTAGTGATTCGCTAGTGAATATGATCAGAGTAAAGACGAGGGACCCGAAATAACAAAGTCAGAAGTTATGCATGCAGTAAAGTCTATGAAAAATAATAAAGCTGCTGGTCCAGATGAAGTACCAAGTGAATTGCTAAAACTCTTCAATGAAAAAAATATTGATCTTTTAGTCCAACTACTGAACCCAATCTATTCCACAGGAATAATTCCACGTGAAATGCTGAGATCAACATTTATTTGTCTACCAAAGAAAGTAAATGCCAAAGAATGTAGTGATTATCGAACGATCAGTCTAATGTCACATACCTTAAAAACTTTGCTAAAAATCTTCCATAATAGAATACACGCTAAGCTGGAGATGAATATTAGTGATTCCCAGTTTGGATTTCGAAATGGAGTAGGCACAAGAGAGGCACTACTTTCTTTTAACGTGCTGGCCCAAAGTTACACGTTAAACATTAGGTAAGCCGACGATACAGTCATAATAGCCGACAACTTGGAAGACTTAGAAAGAATAATGAACAAAATATTAAAATATAGTGGAGAATACGGACTCTCTCTTAATATAAAAAAAACCGAATTTATGAAAATTAGCAAGAACAACAAAACAAATGAAATATTAACGGTAGGTGGACAGCAGATTGAGAGAGTAAAAATATATACTTACTTGGGAACGATAATCACAAAAAATACCGATTATACTGCAGAGATAAGAGTCAGAATTGAAAAAGCATGTGCCAACTTCGTGAAAATGAAAAAGATTTTATGCAGCAAAAATCTGGCATTGGCCCTCAGAATAAGGCTAATTAAATGCTATGTACACAGTGTACTCCAATATGGAGCTGAATCATGACTATTAAACCGGAATACAATAAATCGACTTAACGCGTTTGAAATGTGGACATTTGGAAGATTGTTAAGGATTCCATGGGTAGATAGAGTCACGAATGCAGAAGTGTTAAAGAGAATAGGATGAGAGAGGGAAATAGAAAATACTATAAAAGAAAGGAAATTGCAAAATCTCGGACATGTAATGAAAGGCAAAAGATTCAACATCTTGAGACTCATAATTCGAGTACAAATAGAGGGTAGGAGAAGCGTAGGAAAAAGACGCATTTCCTGGTTGAAGAACCTGAGAGAGTGCTTTGGTTGCAGCCCAAAGCAATTGTTCAGAGCAGCTGCCCAAGGTCAGAATAGCCATGATGATTGCCAACCTTCGTTGCGGAAATGGCACTTAAAAAAGAAGAAGTGATTCGCTTGATATCATTAGTCCATTTGGTCCATAAAGCTCTGCCTCTATTTCTCTTGTTTAAGAAAATAAACATGTTTAGGGATTATCCTCATGTAACAAGTAGTTTTAAACTAAGCAGACCAAAGATATTGACAAATGAGGTGAGAAAGGCTATATATCCAACGACAGATGGCAAAGCCAGGATGCCAGGACAGGATGCGATGAAATATCAGTTGAATTTTTGAAAGTTTTCGACGAGAACAACCAACAAATTAAGTTCTGAGACATGCAGTGTTCGTTATGATAAGTATAATCTGCTACAGCTTATAGTAATAGGCAAGATGGATGGTAACAGTGTTCGTTATGATAAGTACAATCTGCTACAGCTTATAGTAACAGGCAAGATTAAAAGTAGAAAATAATTGATTGGACAGAACGAAACTAAGGGCATGGTTGCAAATGCGGGACAAATCAGAGGCACATAAAAAAGGTAGATAATGGTAGTCAAAAGGGTGCGTTTTCGACCTCAAATTCATAATAATTTTAAAAAGCCACAGAACCCACTGCAGGAAACAGAGGAGTTTTAGTTATTGATGTCTATAAAACTTAAAAAATTGTTAGATACTTAACCGGGTCAACGTTCCTTAGCAGGGAATGTTTTACTTTATTTCTTGGTATTAATATTAGTCTTATATTTCAGTACAAAAAAGTTTCTGAGTAACGGCAAAAATACCCTAGACAAAAAAACTGGTATTTTAATCTATTTAACCTGCATAGCCGCTTAGTTAATCCGTGTCAATTTGAAATTTATTAAACAGATTACGTTTTATACTTTTCGCACAATTTATTTAAGGATTTTAATAATAAATTTCGCTTTCAAGATAAACATCAATAATCGTTTAAATATTTTTTAATGACAGTTTTCACTGAGCCAATTCATTGGTTGGTTTAAAAATTGGTCGAACAAAAACGGAAGTAAAAGTAAAATAGAAGCCAGGTGTTATTTTCTCTCCGAAAAATGTTTTTGGCTCGCCTGGTGATTTTTGCTTTAGTGTACATTAATTTTGCAAGTGCAGGTAGGATATATCATAGCATGTAGTGTTCTTAGTAAATCTCTATGTCAAGATTTTTTTAATTACACATAAACCATGAAAGGTTATTAGCTAATATAGTTGAAAGATTATAGTTTATTTACAGATAAAGTTATATAAATTTATATATGTATGTACTTATGTACGTATGTACGTATAAATAAAAATATGGTGAGTTTTTGCATCGTTTCCCATTGTTTCAATCTCTTCGGAAAGTCCTCTATGTTCTATTTCATTGTGATATTTAAAATCCATCTTTTTCTTGGCCTCAGGTATTATTTTACATCAATGTCAACGACGTAGATCTCCAAAAAATTCAGACTTGCTGCAATTTTCTGCAATAACATTCTATACTGCGTTTTAAAGGTTAGATTCAGTGTACTTTTAAATTACAAGCGGTTTGCCATATTTCACCAAGCAAGCAATTTAATTAGGCCCAGCCTGTGAGACATGTTCACCCCTAAGAATTACGTTCGGGTGCAACAATTCATTGGAGCGAGGTGTATGAACTCGAGTTAAAAACAGGAGTCATTCCACCACGCTCCGTTGCTCCCCTTCCTTTCTCCCCTTCTTCTTCTTCACGATCCATCTCCGCTACGAAGGTTGGCTATCATCATGGCAATTTTGACCCTGGAGGCTGCCGCTTGAAACAATTGTATGGAAGTGCAAGCAAACCACTCCCTGAGGTTTCTCAACCATGACATTCTTCTCCTACCTATGCTGCGCCTACCTTCAATCTTTCCTTGCATAATTAGTTGTTACAGTTGATATTTATTCCCACGTGTAATATGTCCGAGGTATTGTAGTTTCCTCATTTTAACACTCAATACGACCTCCTTTTGTTTGTTCATCATGTCTAATACAACTTGGTTAGTTATCTTATCCTTCCAGGAGATTTTTAACATTCTTCGGTACGCCCACATCTCAAATGCCTCCAGCTTACCCATACATTGCTTATTTAGTGTCCACTTAAATCCTTTAAATCCTATAAATCCTTTCCCCCCTATAGCACTTCAATTCACGATAGGAGCACAACTATTAACATAATGCTCTTCATGTGGATAATAGAACTCCAACATGGTACCCTATCCGATTAAAATTCAGGATAGCGTTAGTCGCTTTATTCCTGTTGTCTTCGTGTGATTTATCCATGAATCTAAAATTGATTACTTGGTCATTAAGTATCCGCTATGGGCTACGCCCATTTCGGAGACTTGTTGCTCAAGCTGTTGGGCCCTACTTAAGGGATTTTTAAGGTTTTTGTTAATATTTTTTTGTGGCTTTCGTTGGTTTTTGTTTTTTTTTTAGTTTTTTTTTGTTGGATGTCCTGAAACACAAAATCCTAATTAGTGCATATATATATATATATATATATATATATATATATATATATATATATATATATATATATATATATATATACATATATATAGTCAAATTACCTGGGCCTACTCGGTACTTGCCCTTGTCCACCACTTTGATGGAGCTACGAACTGTTTATGCCGGGTCCAGACCAAGCAGACAAAACAAAAACATTCATGTTTCGCGACAAAGTGGCGACAAATCGAAAACATTTGTTGAGACATTTCTGAAACAATTTTGTTTTGTTTGCAGATTTGAAAACTTTTTCAGGTCCCGTCTCAGGTCGGTAAAGATCAAAAGGTCTGTGTTTTGTCTGTGTTTTTGACGACAAGTTGTCGACGCAGTGTGGACGCGTGTGCGTGCCAAAACAAGTTAAGCAGTAGGAGAAATAGAATGTACAATTTTTATCAAAAGTGTATTTTTCTGTTGTGTAGTGATTAAATAAATACTGGTGTATTTTTCTAAACATGTCGGGGGACAAAAAGTGGAATACACAAAATACATGTAAGTTAATAGAACTTTACAGGAAGCATCCGATATTATGGGACCCTAAAAATAAAGATTATAAAAATCGCTACAAGAAAGCCGATGCATTAAAGGAAATTTCTTTATCGCTAAATGTGCCACTAAATGATGTTGAAAAGAAAATAAAGAATGTTAACAACCAGTATTCTAGAGAAAGACGACGTTTGGGTTTTCGTTTAGCAACCTGGGATGATGATGAGAGCAAAAAAAAACAACTTGCGGCTAGCAATAAATCTTCAGTTTCATTTTTTTCTTGATTAAAACGCCACATGGTTAACCAACACTAATCACAACAACAACGTCACCAACTGAATTTTGTTTTTATATTTTGTTGTTCTGGTGTGGACAGTTTGTCTCAAATTTGTTTTGTCTTTTGACGACAAATTTTGTCGTCGGTTTATCGTGTTTTTGTTTCAGAATTGGGTTTTCGTTTTGTCTGCTTGGTCTGGACCCGGCAGCTTTTGTGTTTTGTTGTTATTGTTTTTTGTTTTATTTTCTCTCGGGTCATTTTTGTTTTCTTTCTGGTATTTTTGTTTGTATTCTCTCTGGTTTTATTTAATTTTATTTCGCTATTTGTTGTTTAGGTCTTTTGTGTTTCCATCGGTGGAAAGCGTCGTACCTCATGGTCTCCCGCACTTGGATGGTTCTCTAGTTCCCCGAACTTCGTCCTTGTTTTATCTTTCAACATTTCAGTCACTCCAATTTGCTGTAGTTCTCTAAATAGGAATCTTTCAGAATCTTCTTGGTCCTGCTAATCCTCTTATTAACGCTTTTGCTATGTTAGATTTTTGTATTGTGGCGTCTACGTGTATTTTGAATGTTAAGCCTTTATCATGATTACTCCTAGATATTTTGCTTCGATTTTACACTCAATGGGGTTGTTTTGCACTGTCACTTGCTTCCCTGGTTGTTGATGCCTCTTTTTGAAGAGTACTACCTGTGGTTTTTTCGGAGTTTAATGCGATTTTCCATTTTAGACTCCAGTCTTCTACATCGTCCAGCGCTGTTTGTAGGTTGTTTACCGCAGTGTCTATGTTTCTGTGTTTGGCTGCTATTGCTGTGTCATTGGCATATACATTTAATAAAGTTCCTGGTGTTCTAGATGTATATTGTGTATAACAGAGATGACAGGACCGCTCCCTGTGGTAATCCAGCCTTTAGGTTCCCAAGTTCGAACAGGACTTGTCCTATAGAAACTCTGAAACTACGGTTGCTCAAATACGAAGAAATTAGTCTCGTCATTGCCTAGCTGTAACCGTATCTTCTCATTTTATAAATTAGTTCATAATGCCAAACTCTGTCGAAAGCTTTGCTTATATCTAGGAACGCAGCTCCTATATATTGTCTGTTGTTAAATCCAGCTGCTATGTACTCTATTAATCTGAGTACTTGTAACTCGTTGAAATGCTCTGATCTGAATTCGAATTTATGCTTTTGGTATTATGTCTAGTCTGTCTGTTTCGGCTTGGAGTCTGCTGAGTATGACTCTCTCTACAATCTTACTGATTGCAGGTAGTAATCTTATTAGCCTGTAATTTTGCGGCAACGTGCTATCTTTTCCTGGCTTTGGTATCATAAAAACATGGGCCTCGTTCCATCGGTTTGGGAATTACTTGAATCTTAGCATTGCATTTATTATGTTTGTTAGATACACTATGACTCTCGCCGGTAAGTATTTAAGAGTTCTGTTCGTTATTTGGTCCGGTTCAGGTGCTTTTTTCGGTGAGCTGTTTTAATTTAACTTCGTTTAACGCATTACTCCAGTAATGTCATATATCACCCATGCTGTGAATTATCATAAATAAATACTCCTTTTGTATTCAACAGCAGTTAACAGAGATAATCCTTTAAAAGTACCTGCCTAATCCTCTCATTTGTTTCTTTTTATTAATTTCAATTCATTCTTAAACGGTCAACAAAAACATATGTTAATAAAAAACACTTATAGTGTTGAAGTTTCAGGCTATTTTATGTTAGGCCATTTTGAAAATAATAATTATAGATGTAAAAATTAACTAATAATAAAACGCCCAAAACGTCAACACTATAAATGTTTTTTATTTATACGTAGCTAATATAAAAATGTGTACGGAAGTTTTTTGTTTCATTTGTTTTATAATATAATAGGGAAATAGCAGCAATATTTTTAAAAAATAAAGGTAAAGGGTAAATAAGATATTTTTTAATTATAAATTAAACATAATAACTTACGTTACTGTTTATCAGCTTTGTCGGTGTCACTACAAATAAAATCACTGTCCTTGTCTGCCCTACCATTGTTTATAATAATTGGTTGAATATCATTATTAGACTTCGGCAAATATGCAAATAAAAATGTAGAAAATATTCGCATAAATATGCACGTGTTTACCCGAAAATATGCAAATATTTTACAAAATATGCATACAAATAAATAAAAAAATCGTAAAATAGTAACAATTTTATTTAAAAAAAAAGTGTACATAACTAAATATTTCCTACTATTCATTAAGATTTACATTTATTTTAAGTAACTACATCATTTTTAAGTATAAATAAACTTATTCATAATTCAATAGAATTATGGTAACAATAAATGACCAAGTGGTGTTCAAAATTTTCTAACAAAAACTTGTGGCTTCTGTCTGAGTACATATATTTATATATGGAAAAACTTCGTTCAAAATCAACTGATGTAACGGGAGCATTTTTCAAACTAACCAAAACATTTGGTTCTAAATTAATTGTTTCCGAAATATTTCCAGCTAGAACACTGACTACTTCAGAAAGAATATGGTAACCTTTATTTTTTTCCATAGTGGCTTCAATTTTTTTTAAAATATCTTTTCCAATATTACCTCTAACGTTCCGACAACATGACGCAAATTCTTTTATTAATGCTGTACTTTCGAACAATGACAGTTTTGGTGATTCTAACTGAGTAATTGTTTTTTGAACAAAACTAAAATTTGATTTTATAAATGAAAATTCTTGTTGAAGCAAGTTACTCTGAAAAGTTTGTTTAGAATCCAAAAGAGATTGGGAACTTTCATATGTTAACGTATCAATTTTGTTCTTTATTTTAACAAAATGATCTGCATACAAATTAGCTGCTTCTAACCATGTTCCCCATCGCGTTAAAATAGGTTGTGGTGGAAGAGGAATGTTAGGTCCTTAGTTAGAACTTTTATAAAGTTGAATTCTTATAGGAGATTTAAGAAATACTTTTTTGACACTGGATATCATGGTATTTACAAGAGGAAACTTTTTTTGTATTTCCTCTGCAACTCTGTTTAATCCATGCGCTACACAAGTAACATGTATTAAATCTGGGAAAAATATTTTTAAATTTTGTCCTGCTTTCACCATATAAGGAGCAGCATCCGATAAAATAAGCAGTAATTTATTAGAAGGAATAGTTGTCGGCAGAAAAAAAGTTGCTAATGTTTCTTGTATAAAACGCGAAATTGTTAAAGCATTTGTTTTCTCAAGTTGCTGGCATGAAATAAGATGAGATTTTGGTAAGGTATCTTCTTTAAGAACACCAATCAATAAATGAGCAATATACTTTCCTGAGGAATCAGTGGTTTCGTCTACAGATATGTAAAAATAATTATCTGCAATTTCTTCCTTAATATTAATTAACACCGACGAGTATAGCCCGTTCACATTATTTCTTCTTAGAGACCGATCACTTGGAACATTAAGTTTGCAATATTTTTTTAGAAACGAACTAAAATTTACATTTGCTAATTTTGAAAGCGGTATGTTTGCAGACACTAATGCGCGACACAAGTCTTCATTAAAAGTTTCTTGCTCATCTAATTTTTTTGAAGTAGATTGGAAACATTTAGCCATTGAAGTTTGATGTTTTCCTCCTATTTTTCCTTTTTTTGCAATGTGTGAAGCAGTTCTCACATGTTGGTCTATCTGAAATTTCTTCTCACATGCTATCTATAAATAAAAATAAAAACCTTTATTTTAACAAAAGCTTTAAAATATAAAAATATACAAGGTGTTTTTGGTTAATCAAATAACTGGTTTGGAAAAAAACACTCTCTCTAAAAGTGTTTTTAAATGCAGTATTAATCCACAAATTAGTTTTGGTTACTAACCATTAGTACATCATATAACTTATTTTAAAATTCAACAAAAGTTTTTTTTTTGTTAATTCAATTACAGTAAAAATAATTGTGTTTTAGAATAGCTGACTTCATAAAAAAAAGTAAAGGTGAAAAATTTTTCTAAATACACACCATTGTATTGTACCATGGACAATTTTTTCTCACTAAAGGAAGCTATTTTTCATTTAAAAACAACCTACGAGTACTAAATTTCAAGTAAATACGTTTACTGGTTTTAAAGTTATTGTTGTTATTAACTAAAAGAATTTAATTTTTTTAATTTTAACACCCTGTATCTCGAAAAGTAAATAAGTTTGACTCCTCATTAACTATATCGTTTTGTTCAATTTTTCGAGAAGTATCTACAGTCAAACGTTGTAAGTGTCATTTGGAAACACCCTGTATGTATGAAATATTAGATATTTAATAGAAAATCTTAGATACTTACAATTTTGCCACAGACTGAACAGTAGATTTTTCCCATATCCATAGACAGCTCTTCATAAGGTTTAATCCAAGTTGAAGCACTGGTTGTTTTAGGCATTATAAAATCACAATCTTCCTTTTTGTTACGCACAATGAGTGTTTACGCTTTGAATATCAAAACAAAAATTATTTACAAATCTGAGCATCAAATTAGAAATGTTTAGGTACCTAATTCAATAAACTGGGAGATTTTGGAAAATCCCTAAATTAGGAACAAAACTATTAGCCGTTTACCTGCTGTTAAGATACAATAAATTGTAGATAGATTTGGGGATTATATTATAAAATGCAAATGAGCGAACCCTTAGCGGTTATCCAATAACTGAATGCCTCAGTGACCGAGACTTTCTAAGAATGTTGAGGGCTACTTAAATTGATCTTCTTTGAAATTGTAAATGTTTTGTACCTGTAGAGATTACGTACTTAGATCATTTCTTGATTAAAATGACTACAAAATTTTATACAAGAATTGAAATAAATTGGTATGTTTAAAAATTTTCAAATACAGTATAAAAATCTGAACTTTTATGCACTTTATGCAAACTTTTATACAAATATGCCAAAATATGAAATATTTGCATAAAATATGCACAATATGCAAAATATGCAATATGCATATTTGCCGAAGTCTAATCATTATCAATCATGCTGTCGTGTTTCCATATGTCCGTTTCTTCTCATATTACGTGTTTTATATAATTTTTCAATTTTTTTTGGTAACTTGTGAGTACACTTCTGTAATTAAATTCCTAACTTCTCCTTTAAAAGTTTTCTTGTATGCGGCAATATATCTTTTCACTTCTCTTCATACCAACTTTATGAGGTTGAGCTTACTGTGATAGGTTGAAAAGTGAAGAATTTTCAAATTGTGTTGTGCAATATCTTCAATTATATATAGATCGTAATTTGTCCTATAACTGTTAACAACTTCCAACAGTTCTGTTTTTAAATGATTTTCTTCAAAAACTATATCTTTCGATAAAAGCCATGTTTTGATTTCTTCTTTATTGGAAGCAGTGTTAGGAACTTTCTACAATTTCCTGCTATGATAACGAGCATTATCCACTACCACAACTGTTTTTAATGGCAAATTACGCATTAGGTTATGTCATGTTATGTTATGTTAGGTAACAGCATCCTTCCTCCCACACAGTTCTCTCGACTCACAAACTATTGCAGTCTTTGCTCTTTAACCTTTTTTATAACTTTAGTCACTTCGGTCTTCCTTTCCTAGAGCCTTTCAAACCTCTACAGGTATTCCATTCTATCTTACTGCCTCGACAGTCTCATCTTTCGTTATTTCATTTGTTATCCCTTTCGTTATTACATTTTCTATTGGGGTCTTGCATCTTCCATCTCTTATCTCTCCTCTACATTTAACAACTTCTCCCCGTGTATTTCCAACTCTTCATACAGCTCTGCAGACGATCTTTGCTTAGCAGTAGCTATATTTCGTTTTGCTTCCTTCTTTGCTACCTTGCATATCTCTTTATCGTCCCGTTTAGACCTCTCATATCTCTTTCTAGCCTCTTTCTCCTCTCTAACCTTCGGCTGTATTTCACCACCAAGTTTCTTTGTCCCTATGACTCCATTTATCATAGCAGTTTTTCATAGCACTTTCTCTCCCACTCGTACCAAAACTTTGTTGTTGGCTTCCCACAAGTCATTTATAGTGTTTCTTTCCTCAAATTCTTCTAGCACTCTACACTCAAAGACTTTTGCAAAATCCTTATCATTTAACTTTCACCACTTTACTTTTTGATGTCCTACTTGCTTTCCTTTTCGTCTTACCTTTATCTTCTTTTCCACTATTACCGGTTAGTGTTTACTAGCTATAGACACCATCAGAAATCTCGGTTACCTCAGAATCAAGGGCACTACAATATTCTTCCTTTTCCTTTAATATATCACTTCTTCTACTTACCCCTAGTAGATGTTTTTTCCACTCGGTGTTCATAATAATACCCACTCAATTTTTTGCATGACTGTTCGCGATACCGCATATTAACTTGCATCCATCTCCAAGATCTCACGATTAGGTATTACATTTCGAATGAGTTTCTTACATACACAATACACACCAATTCTTCTCCTCTGTATTAAATCGACCAGATTTCTTTCTTTAGCTGTTATACTTCCGATTTTGAGATTTGGAATCTTTAAAAAAACTCACAATGATATGCTATTACATTATCATATATACGAAATATAATTTTTTTACAATTTTTATCTGTTTACTTTTTGCAGGTGATTTCTGTAGGACACACGAGGATCATAGGAAGATATTCCCAAACCCTACCAACTGTTCGCAATTCATAATGTGTCAAGGCTTCACTGACGTTATTATGGAGTGTCCAGCGGGTTTAATTTTCAATTGTATTACCTTAGCGTGTGACTGGCCAGCCAACGGGACGATCCCAAACGATTGGTGCGACCCTCCTACCGGGGTTTTCGAAAAAGAACATTACTGCGATTGCTCTAAATACGTTTATTGTGTCAATGGGGTACCTAGTATAAAACAATGTGCAAATAATGCTAGAGTAGATGCATGTAATAGACCACAATGTAAAAAAGTTGTTATCTAATTTACTGTGTTTTCTTTCTATTTTTAATTATATTATTTTTCCAGAGAAAACCAATAAATGTATAAAAACAAAAAGTAATAAAATTCTGATGCCATTGAAAAATCCTGAAATGTCTATTAAAGTCTGTAAAGTCAAAAAATGTATATAAACAGATGTTATTGACAATTTGGAACAGTAGGGTAGAGTGGGGCATACTGAGCTAACGAGGCAAAGTGGGGTTTTTCTGATTTGCAGAAATGCCTATACATCCGAGAACAGCATCGATCGATGGGTTGTCAGGGAATGCTTGACCTTGACAATCATCAGTTAATTATTATTGCCCCATTACCTTGTACTTAGACTACGTTGGTTAGAACGTACAAAAGAAAAACCAAACAACATTTCTGGTGTGAGGAATCAATAAAGAAACCAGCCTCCAGCGTGATATATGTGATGCAAAAAAGCAAGTTTTACAAATCGCGCTTGAAAGATATGTGGCTACAAAAAAAGAAAAGGCATCATCGTTTTACTTCTGTAGAAAAAAAGTTAAAAAGTTGCGTCGTTTCAGAACTTTTTTTTTACCCCATACTTAGAAGACGTCGAAGATAATTCACCCAGCAAAGTACAAATCAAGGAAATCATAAAAAATCTGAAAAACAATAAATGCCCTGGAAGCGATAACATAACAGCAGAATTGATGAAATATTGTAGAAAAATGCTAAATGATGAAATATACAAGATCATAAAGGAGATATGGATAAAAGAACGAATACCAGAAGATCGGAAGAAAGCAATTATTTGCCCATTACACAAAAAGAACACAAAACAGAATGCAGTAATTATAGAGGAGTAGCGATACTAAATACCGTGGGTATATAAAATCCTATCAAATCCTATCATAAAAGATAAGCTAGAAAAAGAAGTTGAAAATATAATAGGCGAATATCAGTGCGGATTTAGACGAGGGAGAAGCACAACGGAGAGAAGTATTCGTTATCAGAGAACGTACAAGCAGAAAGCTATGAACATAACTTACCAACGATAGCGCTATTCATCGACCAGCAACCATACGATTGAATAAAGGAGGAAAGAATTAAAAGAGACCCTTGACGAAATGGGAGTTATCAGAAAGTTGCGTAACATGATACATCTTACTTTAGAGAATACAGAAAACAGAGTCAAAGTAAACAATCATTCATCGGACAAATTTATAGTAAACGAAGGATTAAGGCAGGGCGATCCTTTGTCACCATTACTCTTCAATTTATACCTAGAAAAAATAATGCGAGGAGCGAAAATCAATAGAGAAGGACTTTTATATTATAAAAGACACCAAGTTTTGGCATTTGCGGATGATGTAGTGTTGCTGGCAAGAGAAAAAAAGAGCTACAGGAGATAGTACAGAGTATAATTAAAGCAGCGAAGAAAATGGGACTTTACATAAATGAAACTAAAACAAAACAAAAAAAGAATAGTGGTTGGTAGCAAAGTACATCTAGCCTTCATTGACCTAGAAAAGGGTATGATATAGTTCTAAGACTTAAACTGTGGCAAGCTTTACAATAACTCGGCATGAGTCAATACCTTTTAGAAATAATCACAATACAGGGATAACACTACTTACCTAAAAATCGGAAACAGACTATCGGAGCCAATAAAAGTAACTAAAGAACTAAGATAAGGATGCAGTATATCACCCTTACTGTTTAATTTACATATTGAGGCAGCCTTCCAAAATTGGAAAAACCACTGCTAGGGAATGGGAATCCCCATAGCAAATGACGTAGTATTCTCCCTGAACTTTGCGGATAGCTCAAAATTCTTATAATCTAGAATTTATGATAAATCGGCTATACAGAGAATATGTAAAATGGGGGTTATAAGTCAGCATAAAGAAAACAGAATTTTTAGTTACCAATTCAGATGCAAGGTTTGAAATGTTGATAGACGAGGACGTGGAATTCAAACAAGTGAAAATTTTTAAATATTTAGGTGCAGTCATTGATAAAAACGGCTTGGGAGAAACCGAAATTAAACACCGAATTAATCAGGGACGTAAAATTGTAGGATGTCTGAACTCATTATGGTGAGATCGCAACATTTCCAAAAGAAACAAAAAAGAATAGGGCAAATCATGCTTGAATGAGTTCTTTCTTATGGCTCTGAAGTGTGGACAATTAATGCAGACTTAAAGAGAAGATTGTTGGCAGTTGAAATGGATTATTTAAGAAGAAGTGCTAGAACATCAAGGTTGGAAAGAAAGAGCAACGAATCTATAAGCAACAACATGAATGCTACAGAAATGGTCATTGATAGAATAGAAAGAAGAGATTTAAAATGGTTTAAATAGTAAAAAGAAGAAACAGAGGTAGACCTCGACGCTCATGGAATGAAGGAATTAGAAGAGCGATGGAATCGAGAGGTTTGGAGGAGGAGCATGCCTTGGACCGATTGGCGAAGGAGAACGGGAATACAGCGATAGCCGTCTCCAAAATGTCTTGTATTTACATGTTTGGATCCTGTAATATATATATATATATATATATATATATATATATATATATATATATATATATATATTATATATATTGTAACCTCGGAAATCTTTTTTTTTATGGTGCTAGAAAGATAACCAATGGAGACACTGCGGACGGCATCCAGATGGTTGGTGGAGAGCGAGTCGTGAGTTCGAAACTAGCTTTTGGAACCGGGATTGGGTCCAACGGACGAAATAAGTAAAGATAGGATAAGAGATATTAGAAAAGATATAGAAATAAACAAAAAGATAGATGGGTAAAATTACCAAAGATAAGAGAAGGTAGAAACAGGGCGCCACTCAATTTTTTGGGGTTAAGGAGAAAATTAAGAAACCTTAGAAAAGAAAAGAGATAAGGAAAGATATCCTTCAGAGATCAGAGATCAAACCCAAGGAAAGATACCAACAGTTAATTATCAAATAAATTTGGTCAACATAATATATAAACAAATAATAAATATATTATGTATTACACTTACTTACCTACGAAACTTAATCACCCTGATCTTTCTACCAGTCAAAGGTATAGTAATAAATTAATTTACTAAGCAAATATTTAGAGCTACTATTTTATCAGGGAACTTGTTAGGAGCCGACAAATAAAATACATGCATAAAACATTAACAATATATTAAACACAAAATTATGATGCTGTTAAATGCAACACAAGTAATAAAAATACACAACTATGAAATGGTGTTATATATGTATAAAATTAAGCAATAATATAATAAAAAAATACCTTTACCAAGATATATAAGGCAATCATATACAGATATAGTTTGGCGTATCTCGAGATATTATAGGAAAGATAATGAGCAAAAATTATAGCAAATACAAAAGATATCAAAAATTTCTTAACTCTAAATTTACAAAAAAAAACAAACAGGTTACAGAGTTGAAAACATTAACTAGCCAAACCGCACTTGGCTAGGTGGGTTACTATCTCGCACTAATAATTAATGCTAAACTGAGATGTTCATAGTTATTATTTATGGAAAGTTCTTTAAATTAAATATAAAAATCGGCAATATATATATATATATATATCGGCAATATATATATATATATATATATATATATATATATATATATATATATATATATATATATATATATATATTATATATATATATATAATATATATATATATATATATATATATATATATATATATTATATATATATATATATATATATATATATAATATATATATATATATATATATATATATATATATATATATATCGGCAATATATTCAAAAAATGGGGATTAGAGGTTAATACCGAAAAGACACAATACATGAATATAGGAGGCATCGGTCAAGACATGGAAACAGAAAGCGGATTAATTAAAAACATTGATCAGTACGAATATCTCGGAGTTACACTAAGCGAAGACGGGAGAGACGACAAAGATATAACAAGAAAAATAGGAAAAGGAAAAAACATGATAAAAACACTACATCCTATCCTGTGGAATAAAACTTTAACTAAGAAAACAAAGAAAAATATATATCATGCTATGATTCAGCCGGTGCTGACGTATGGGTCAGAAGTGTGGGTCTTTAACAAGAATATGTCACAAAAACTCCTCTCAACGGAAATGATGTACTGGAGAAGATGTTCCGGGTTAACTTTGTTTGACCACATAAGAAATGAAAACATAAGAGAGAGAATGAAAGTAAAGAACACAATAATGGATACGATAGCCGAAAAACAATTAAAATGGTATGGACACCTGAGACGGATGAACGAAGAAATGATACCACGAAAGGTTTGGAACTGGAGACCTACACAGAGAAATAAAAGGGGAAGGCCAAGAAAGAAATGGATATCCAATATTCATATAGAAATGGAAAATAGAGGTCTTCAAGAAGGAGACTGGGCCGATAAGAAATTATGGCGATTGGGATGCGAGAAGCGACAAAATTAAAATTGCAAACACTCGCTATATATATATATATATATATATATATATATATATATATATATATATATATATATATATATAAATCGGCAATCTACAGATGAAGATATGGATGAATGATGGGTGTGATACGTCCAGATAATGGCAGGTGGTATACCATACCATATTACTCGCCCAGATAATTTGCAGATAAAGATTATGGTAACTTACATAATTCCTGATGACGGCAGCTTAATTCACTGAATTTAATATACTGTATTGATATTCAACACTGAATTTAATTAGGTACCATTAAAGGTAGTGTAGAACTATATATAACTTAATATAGTCTAAGATAAAAAAACTAAAATATAGAGTGTATACACACTTAGAAAATAATGCACAGAGACGATAATTTCAGGCAAGCGACCACACTCAACGGGAGGCCACCGAGAAGTCTCACGAGATAATCGACCTGTGCTCAACGAGAGCCCGCCGAGAAGTAAGTTGGTTCCACTAAAAATTTCACCAACTATCCAAGAAAAAAGAAGAAGAAGATTTATCTCCCACTTAAA